ACACTGTAGGGGAGGCTCTGGCTTTTCTTTCCCCTAGAGCAGGTACCCCTGAAATTCCCCGAGACGTGAATCACTGTTTCCTCCCGTCAACCTTCTAGAATCTCCTCAGAGCTGCCCCGGACTCCAGAGTTCAGGTTCTCACTTGTTGTGGGACTTTGGGAAAACACACCTGAAACACTGAGTGACTGTCGTCCTTGAACACTTCATCGTCGTCTGCATTTTAGTTGATGTGATTTTTTTTTTACCTCATTTTGAATAAAAGAAAATAAATCCATAGACTCTAACTAGGCCAGATATACTTCTCTCTCTTTCCCATGGTACCTGTGAATGTAGCCCCAAATATGATAGGAATCACTAAACACTGCAGCTCTTACAACATTTTCTTGGTCAGCTGTTCCAACAGTGTGAGGACCACAGTAGCACAATTATTTGATGAGACTAATTCTGTACCCACTGCAGACACATTTCTTCTTATGTACCAGCACCTCCAGTCCATCACAGCCTATGATTACATTCTTCAAATTTCCATCATACATGTGGTAAGAGAAATTGATATTTCTGTGCATTGGTTTCCAGACCCAAGAGTTGTTGCTCCTCGCCACTCTCTGTTTGGGGGTATTTATGCATCCTGGAGAATGGTATTATCCCCAAAATGGGCCATCTTTAGAGATTAAATTTTCTGCTATAAAACAGTGGCAAAAAATACTTAGTGTTTATCTCACATCAGACTGTGGAGACTTAAGTCAGCCCTTCCATTGTTCTACTGGGGTCTTTGTTTCTGGGCAAGTGTGAAGGAGCAAGAACTGCTGGATCTCAGACTCATGTTCCTGTGATCACATCTCCTATCCCTTAACTATAGTTACATTCCCTCGTGTCAGAACACATTATGCAGTGTCTCATTCTAGGAATAAGATATCAGTAACTTGGACAGTGGCACTAGAAGCTTCTCTACGATTACAAAGCACGTGGAGATAAAAGGTAATTCTTCTAAGTATAAATCACTACCTATGAGGTTTGGGCTTTAATTTTTTCAAATTGTCTCCACATGACTGGTGGGTATCCTTACAATGTGAAATTATTTTGTTAGCCAAATGTGGTATCTATCGCTGTCAGTTCAGGCACTTGGTAAGACGTGCTGGTCAGTCTGGTTGGAGGTATCTGGGCTCCGTCTTCATTGCACATGTCAGGGAAAGCTCTGATATAAAGAGAGTGGACACTGTCACTTATGTAGCAGTGTGGATTAAACTGCAGAAAATCATCATACTATGAGGTCTGCATGCCCTTTCACACAGCAGAGTAGATTTCTCTCGCTTTCAGCTGCCTGCTTACTTATATTAAATATTACTGCTTGTGCTTTTACTTTACATTGTTTTCTATTCTTTTTTTTCTTTTGAATTTTTTTAATGGGTTTGTTATTGCATTTTACTCAACCATCTTGAAGTCATTTTGACATTTCTTTTTTTGTTTTGTTTTTATTTATTAATTAATTAATTTATTTATTTATTATTATACTTTGAGTTCTAGGGTACATGTGCATAATGTGCAGGTTTGTTACATATGTATACTTGTGCCATGTTGGTGTGCTGCACCCATCAACTCGTCAGCACCCATCAACTTGTCATTTACATCAGGTATAACTCCCACTGCAATCCCTCCCCCCTCCCCCCTCCCCCCTCCCCATGATAGGCCCCGGTGTGTGATGTTCCCCTTCCCGAGTCCAAGTGCTCTCATTGTTCAGTTCCCACCTATGAGTGAGAACATGCGGTGTTTGGTTTTCTGTTCTTGTGATAGTTTGCTAAGAATGATGGTTTCCAGCTGCATCCACGTCCCTACAAAGGACACAAACTCATCCTTTTTTATGGTTGCATAGTATTCCATGGTGTATATGTGCCACATTTTCTTAATCCAGTCTGTCACTGATGGACATTTGGGTTGATTCCAAGTCTTTGCTATTGTGAATAGTGCCGCAATAAACATACGTGTGCATGTGTCTTTATAGCAGCATGATTTATAATCCTTTGGGTATATACCCAGTAATGGGATGGCTGGGTCATATGGTACATCTAGTTCTAGATCCTTGAGGAATCGCCATACTGTTTTCCATAATGGTTGAACTAGTTTACAATCCCACCAACAGTGTAAAAGTGTTCCTATTTCTCCACATCCTCTCCAGCACCTGTTGTTTCCTGACTTTTTAATGATCGCCATTCTAACTGGTGTGAGATGGTATCTCATTGTGGTTTTGATTTGCATTTCTCTGATGGCCAGTGATGATGAGCATTTTTTCATGTGTCTGTTGGCTGTATGAATGTCTTCTTTTGAGAAATGTCTGTTCATATCCTTTGCCCACTTTTTGATGGGGTTGTTTGTTTTTTTCTTGTAAATTTGTTTGAGTTCTTTGTAGGTTCTGGATATTAGCCCTTTGTCAGATGAGTAGATTGCAAAAATTTTCTCCCATTCTGTAGGTTGCCTGTTCACTCTGATGGTAGTTTCTTTTGCTGTGCAGAAGCTCTTTAGTTTAATGAGATTATTGTTTTCTATTCTAAGTTATTGCCTGCTTAGTTAATTAAAGTAAGCAACAGTAAATTGTAAAACTAACAGTCAATTACCTGTACAAGTAACATAAAGTGGGCGTGGTGAATAAGCCAAGTAAAGATACCAGAAAACAAAACTCATAAAGACACACCTTGTGTGAGTTTAGACTTGTCAGTGAGCATAGAAAACGAGAGGAGCTTGTGTTCACTTTTACACGAAGAAAGTCAATTATATTTGACACTCAGAAGGCTGTCACACCCGTGAGAGAAATATGTAGAGTGATCCACATAACTCAGAAATTAGTGATAAAGTCACAAACTTGCAAAACCAGCAGACATTCAGTGTATTCAGCGTTCAGCTCTGTTTCTTCAGGGAAAGGCATGGGTTATATCTGTATGGAGAATAGGACAAGTAGTTTTCAGCTGATTCTCCTGGGAAGTTGCTAAGGAAATCACTCAGGCGATGCTCTGACACAGGATTGTGAGGAGGATGTTGACCCCTGGTGGTCGCTGTCAGCAACACGGGACGCTCAACCCTCGTGGGTGCCTTTGTTACTTACCGTTTTGTCCACAAGAGATTTTAAGCTGTCAGGTGCTGCATGCAGGTGAGTTTTTAAACCTCAGGTGAAAAAAATAACATGACCACACAGAAGATGAGAAAATTGAAGACTTCACTTCATCAACCACATTCCACTGATGAGAACTGTTTACACAGAGAGCCAGCAATGAGCTGGGAAGAGGAAGGGGCTGGGGAAGATCATCCATAGAAGGACACATCCAGCCTGCTTGAACTGCCTGTGGAAGGAGGGTTTCAATGTTTGCCCTCAGCTAATCGGGGGCATTTCAAGACCTTCACAATCTTCCAGAAAAACAGTTTTCATGAACGAATGCCCATACGTTACTCAGAGTTGTATTTTTTCATATTTATTCTTCCCCTCTAGGCAGCACCGCAGCAGGGTGTTCTCAGAATTCTCCCTGATCCTTCGTCAGTTCCTGGTGCAGTTCCTGGAGGAAAAGCCTGCATGGGGGAGGGAGCCCTTCTCATGTGCAGCCCTGAGGCTGTCCCGTCCCCTCACCCGCCACTGCCCTTCAGTCACTTGGTAAACATTTGTGAGCTAATCTTCCTGAAACGTGTGGTTTTGGGCAGTATATTCACCAGGTAATAAACTCCTTAAGATCTGTTTATTTCGGCAGGCACGTATCCCTTTCAGGAGCACAGGTTTGTTCTGAGTGTGTGGCAGTGGATAATTACTGAGGGGGGGTTTACGTTCATCTTGTCGTCTCCCACAGTGTACCCTCCATGGGGTTGGCACCCACAAGCAAGCAGACGGACTTGCTCAGCTGGAGGATGACAAACATTTTCATAACCTATGACCTCAGTGATGCTCTTTCCCTGCAAGACCAATCGTGATCATGCCTCTGGCTAATGTGCACCCATCAAGGGTGAGCAGTGACCACCTCTGTGAGGGCTCCTTCAGGGGCACACTCCCTTCGTAAAGGGAAACTTTTGTTCCTACCTGGTCCCATGAATGTGTTTGTATTTGCTGCACAAACCACCTTATTCAGACCCACCACCCAGGAGCTTACAGTGTACCTAATCCAACTCTAGGGCATTGTACCTGGAGTCTCTCATTGCCAGGGTCTCCAATTCTCATGAAAGGATGTTCATTATGAGATTTGCCAGAACTCTCTGGTCTTTAGAGACATGAACCTGCCTCTAAAAGCTTAAAAATCTTACTCTTTGGGAAGGAGCATTGTAAACCAGAAGTAAGATAAGCTCTAAATTAACATATATTTTGTGGATTTTGGAAGAAAGAGTTCAAATAGTAATAGCCTCACCCACTTTCCCTCTGACTAATATCAGTTCTAGAAAGCACTGAAAAAAACCTGTGGTGCTCTGAAACACTTTAGGTTTGTTATATTAGGGCATCACCAGAAAAAGAAAGAACCAAGTGTCCTTGGAGATTGATCCATTGTAACTGATTTGTGCCTGTGGGGCAGGATGGTTGTGGTGGAGGAGGCTGTGCCTGTGTAGGGCAGGGATTAGTGGGAATTCTCACACCTTCTGTGCAATTTCTTTGTAATCCTAAAACTGCTCTAAAATAAACTTTATGATAAGGAGTGGCAGAAACATTTTGCCACTTTTTAAGCATCATTCTTAGTCTCACCATGTGATCAAATCACTTTGCTCCAAATCATGTATTCATCCCATTGGAAAATTTGTTCACAGTAGCACCTTCATGGAACATTTGTATCAAGTGTGGCCTTTTCCACTCTGTGAATTTGGCTTATAAGACGACTCTTGAGTGGAATATTTATCTTAAAATTAGAATATGTACTTGTTTCTATTGTTCTTTTTTTTCCTCGAATATATAACCCATTTTGCAAACAATCTTAAACTTAATAACCCCCTGTCATCTCCTTAGTCCCGCACAGCTGCCTTCTCCCTCAGGGTTTCTGACACTCTCAGGATGTGGTTTTCACACTGTGCCTCTCGCACAGTAATACACGGCCGTGTCCTCAGATCTCAGGCTGCTCAGCTCCATGTAGGCTGTGCTTGTGGACGTGTCCGCGGTAATCGTGACTCTGCCCTGGAACTTCTGTGCGTAGTTTGTTATACCAACAAGAGGGATGATCCCTCCCATCCACTCAAGCCCTTGTCCAGGGGCCTGTCGCACCCAACTGATGGCATAGATGCTGAAGGTGTATCCAGAAGCCTTGCAGGAGAGCTTCACTGAGGCCCCAGGCTTCTTCACCTCAGCCCCGGACTGCACCAGCTGGACCTGGGACTGGGCACCTGCGTAGAGGACACAGGAGTGAATAAAACCCTCTTTAACTAAACCAGGATCCCTTCCTCAGCTTTGGGACTAGGAAGCCCCTTACCTGTAGCTGCTGCCACCACAAAGAGGAGCCTCCAGGTCAAGTCCATGGTGATGAGCTGTGTTCCCAGGGGCTTCTTTAGAGGAGGGACGTGGTTGTTATGTGATGCTCTCAGGGCACCAATATATCTATATTTACCTCAGGAGACCTCAGGTTATTTGCATATTCATGAGGCAGGGTATTTCACAGCTCAAAGCCTGAACCAGGATGAGAAAGAAAACACAGATGCCACATCAGCTGGATAAGAGTGGGATTCTGAGAGACCAAGCCCTCAATCCTGCTTGAGGAAATGCATCCCCTACCCCAATTCTAAGCTTTCTGTGGACAGCAGTCTTCCCACTGAAGAACCCAGGATGTGCTCCTGATTTTACTGGGTGTGAACCTATTGTGGGATGTGAACCCACATTTTATTGGCATAGAGATTACCCGGGTTGTTCCTGGGACCATCGCTGTCTCTGACATTGAGAAGGCACCTTGACTCCATTCTGGCTCCATTAGGAACAGTCAGAGCTCTCTGGTAACACGGAAAAGGTGGCCACTAGTTATCCCACATGAGCGTCCAGCAGGGCCCATGGAGACTTCTGAGATCTGCTGGGTGTTCCCACGACAGACTCCCCAGCACTTTCCTGAGGGTCCTGGCCTCCCAGGCCCTTCAATGGAAAGACTCTTGGTTGACAGATTTGCCCTCTGATGTGTGATTGGCTGTGAGATTTCCCTCCCATTGTCAGTAGGAATCAGGGGTTGAAATAGAAATAGGAATTTTAGTTTCTTGATGAACTCATAGTGCCCAAAAATAATTACCAAGTAATTTGTATTTTGAATAAGTTTGTGTTTTATTTCAAACTCTGTTAAATAGAATGATTTGACGTGGTTTTAGATCATGTCCATAGATCATCATCTTTACATGTTGAGTTCTGATCCGCTTGGTCTGTGCACCTACCACACTCTTCAATCCACCACTTCTGAGTCACAAACACAACGTAGGAAATATTACTTATCTCTGAAGTCTGAATAACTTATTCACAGGAATATAGTGTCTCCCCTAGTTATGTGCCCATTGAATTAAAAAACCATCCATATCCTTCATATTCTCACTATTCAGATATTTATTATCCTATAATCCCACTGATAAATATAGTTCCCATTGCTTTTTGAGTGATATAAGTGGTCCAGATGAAATAGAATATTTAAATCAATATCAGCAACTTGTTGAACACTTAATTTAGAATGACTTGTTGAATAAGGAAGACTCAGGCCCTGGAAAAATATTTCTTTTTCTTTATCTCCAACAAATAAGTGAGAATATATAATATCTGGTTTTCTGTTCCCGAATGAGTTTGCTAAGAGTAATGACTGCCAGTTCCATCATGTTCCTACAAAGGACATAATTTCATTCTTTTCTTAGCTGCATAGTATTCCATGGTTGTTTGTAGCACATTTTTCTCTATCCATTCTGCCAGTGATGGGGATTTAGGTAATTTCATGTCTATGCATTGTGAATAGCGCTGCAATGAACTTACATGTTTATATTCCTTTAGGCATATGTCCAGCTGTAGGATTGTTGGGTCAAATGAAACCTCTGTTTTGATTATTTGAGGGATCACCACACTGCTTTCCACAATGGCTGAACTAATGTACATTCCCACCAGAAGTGTATAAATTTCCCCTTTTTTCTTCAATCATAAAATTCTGTTAATTTTTTTAAGATTAACCATTCTAACTGATGTGAGATGGTACCTCATTGTGGTTTTGATATGTATTTCTCTAATGGTAGTGATATTCAGCATTTTTTCCTATGCTTGTTGGCCACATATAGGTCTTTTTTGAAGTGTCCCTTGGTCACTTTTTATTTCTTGAATGTTTGTTAAAGTTCCATGTATATATTGATATTGGACCTTTGTCAGACGTATAGGTTGTAAACATTTTATTTCCCATTCTATAGGTTGCCTGTTTACTCTGTTGATGAGATTTTTGCTATGCAGAAGCTCTTTAATTTACTTAGGTTCCATTTGTCAATTTTCGATTTTGTTGCAACTGCTTCTAGCATTTTCATTATAAAGCCTTTGTCGGTTCTTATGTCCTAAATTGTATTTCCTATGTTATTATCCAGAGTTTTTATAGTTTTAGGTTTTACATTGAGAGCTTTAGTCCATTTATAATATTTTTTCAATTGATGCTGAAAACGCATTTGATGAAACTCAACATGCTTTCATAAAAACAAAAAAAAAAAACATTAAAAAATGGATATAGAAAGAACACATCTCTACAAAATAAAAGTTATATTCGAGAGACTTTCAGGTAGTATCAGACTGAATGAGAAATAACTAAAAGTCTTTTCTCTAAGATCTGGAACGTGACAAATTTCCCACTTTAACCACTGGTAAAGCGTAAATCCTTCTGCTGCCCCCATAGCCGGCTCTACCTGCACGCGCCACCTACTGGCCTGGTGTTCAAACTGCATGACCTAATACAAAGCCGCTACCACCAGTGTACAGCAGGTGAAAATGAGATTAACTTCTCAATACTTCTGTGATTCCAGCTCCGCAAAAGACCACGGGCCTGCTCACATGCTCAGTATGTTACTACTAAAGCTGGAATTTGGAAAAGGCACAACACTAAAACTATTAATAACAAAATAAATCACACTGAGTAGATGCCCCCCACCTGGCCATTTCCATCAAGGCTGGTGCTTTTGCTTGCCAGGCTCGGTGGCTCAAGTGTGTCCAGCTTGGTGCCCTTCTCAGGGCCTGAGCAGGGAACTCAGGTCACTGTGCATATGATAAACCAGCCCATCGCCTGAGGCAACAGAGAGCTTCTCCCTGTGCACAGATATCAAGCATGTACTCATCTGCTTCTCCCGCAGTCGGCTCAAACCTGTAAGGCCACCTACTAACATGAAAGGTGAACTTAACCCAACACAAATCTGCAGAAACAAATGCATCCCAAATGAGAAACAGTTCCTGAGGCCTCCACTATCTAGGACCTGCAGGAGGCAGTGAGTCTACTCACAGGTCCAGTACATTGGTACTAAAACCACCATTTCAGAAAGCCACTAAATAATGGCTATCTATAGACAACGAACTCTTACAGAGTCATTGCCACTGCGTGAACAAGAACCAAAATCCAAAGACCCACACAATGTACGTTATATTCACATTCAAAAGGGAATGAAATATTCATCAAAATCAGAATGAATTGAAAAATAATAAGAAGAGACACGTTAGCCAAAGAAAAGGAAACAGAGAAGCAATTCTGGAAGTATGAAAAAACAGAGTTACAAACCCCCAAATGTTACATTAACTCTCCAGCAATAGAATCTAAACAACATGACATATTAGAAATGTCTGATAAGTAATTCAAAATGTTGATTTTAAAGAAGCTCAATTAAACCTTTTTCTCTAGTGGCTCAGTAGGCACTGGCACTGAGACAAGCACTGTGAAGACAATTGCAGCCCATCCCCTGATGAACTGACCCGTGTTCCACAAGCCATAATCCTGGTTTTGATTGAACATTTGATATGAGGAACTTTCTCCTGATGAGAGACCACTCACCATGGCCTGGCTCTGGCCATTTACAGAGGCTGCACACTGAGCGCCTTTGTGTCTCTGCTTCTGCTATTTGCACATAGGGCCTGTCTGTAATGAATTTAAATGCTCAGTCACCACTGGTGAGTGAACAGGGCTCATATGCTACATGCGTGTTTGTTCAGTGTGCATGTGTCAGCACCACCTCCGTGAACATCAGTAGCCCCTCCTGTAACCCGTGGATTGTGTCTGTTTAGCCAACACGTTCAGCATAAAGCTTCTGCCCAACCCCTTCTTGGGAGTGTCAGTCTCTCATCTTTACCAAAACTATGCTTTCCAGCCTGTGGGATGGCTGTAACCCTTGATAAAAATATAGCCTCAGTTTCCTAATCTGTAGATGGTGGTATTTTTAAATATTTAACACAACTGAAGATTAAATTCAGAACTTCATTTAATTACTAGACTACTTTTGTAAAGTATGACAAACTGTGGATATCCTATTAGGATTTTTATATACCCGACAAGGACCAGTGACATTTTGAAGCAAGAAACTGACCTGAGACCTTCAGAATAAACTGACGACTGTAGATAATGAAAAGGCTCCCCCAGGACATTGATTCAGGACCCCTGCCTGTCTCATTCCTTCTTCTCTTTCTTTTTATTATATGCTTATCACGATAAAAAAAAATTATTTTCTTTAGTTCTGTTTGCTTTTCACACATACTAGACCCTTATCTCTCTTTTTCACTCATTTTCTTAAGCTGCTAGAGAGAATAAAGTGTCAACTCCCTTATCTGATGCCAGTGTGAAGTTTAAATCACACAAACTCCTTCTCCTGAGTAGAAACGCCCCCACCCCACCCCCGACCCCACCACCAAATCATTTTAAAGCCTTGATCCAGCCTCCTTTCCTGTTCCATTGAGGAAATTCCAGCTTGGAATGTCTTGAGAGGCCTGTACTTCTCTCAGCAGACAATAACAGTGTTGGTAAATCTTTCCATGATCACCTGAGGTGTGAGTGTGGCACTATCAGACTTGACACCCACACTAATCATTGGTAGGGTGTCTCTTCCTTGGCATGGGGTCACCTACAATTGGAACTGTGGGCTTGGAGCCCTGACAGTGACCACCACGCGGCCTTTCTTCTCTTGCACTGGATGCTAACCCCCTCTGCCCCAGTGCCCAGCGTGCACGTTATCCTGCCTGCTGCCCACTGGCCCTTGGAGTTCTGTTGAGCTGGGCTGCAGTGTTGAGTTAAACACTGCACCTTTTCTAGATTTAGCTGACTAAATTCAGAAGCTTTGATAACTTACTGACATTGAGAAACAGGAGTTAAGTGACTGGGTGACTCTGCCTTTGGTGCATGTGAGAAAATTTTTCTCTTGTTATGATAAATATTTCTTCTTTACAGACTTCACAGGAAGAACAGGATGAGGAATCCAGAGAAGTGCCCCAGAGGAAACTGTTTCATGGAGAGGAAGCCACAGGGCTGACAGGAAACCAGACCTTAACCCCCATCTGCACCTGCCCTGAGTCTGGCTCTTGTGCTCAGTAGAT